CATAGTTATCTAGCTGAGTTAAATTTAAGTATGTTCAATTGAGGCAAAGATTTTTTATTTTTTTTTTACATTCACACATACTCAAACCTAAGATCATTTGCTTAAGCCATTATAGTTTTTTTTTTTTATTAGAACCAACGCCTATTGGTCAAATGAGAATTATGATTTATTTTTTATCTAATGATGCATACAACTTATAAACTCGAGAAAATAAAAAAGAAAATAATAATAATTTACATTCAATTTGATTTATTTAGCTTTTTAAAGTTTAAATTTAATAACCATTCGGATTTGCATCAGTTTTTTTTAACTGAATTTTGACTGAAATGGCTGATTGCTAATGCAATATCAAATCAACCCACAATCAATTCAACGAAAATATATTATAAGTGCTAAAGTCAGAAATCAACAACGCCTTGCTTTAGCATAATTACAAGAGAAGACAAAACGTCCATGTTGTCAAGTTGCTATGCCTCATACGCCAAAAACGTAATTCCCATTCAGTGAAGCAGGACATATACAGCTTCATATTCTGTAGAAAAAATTGAAGTGTCTTGCTCTTTCTTTCTTCTAATGCATGTATACAGATGACGGTGTTAATTGAGATTGAGAAAATTATCCTTGCTTTGAGCACGTTTTCCACTGAAAATTGAGCGTGGGACCCATCTTTCTCTTAGGCCATCATATCGAAGCACAGACAATAAAATACTCCCTCATGTGCGTATTATTAGTCTGTCCCTGAAGGTATACCCAACCCATAATACAATACTGGTAACTAACGGACGATGACTCTTCATTTCAAAACAAAATTCCAAAAATACCCATCCTCTTTACATCGTTCATTGTCAAATGATGATTTTCCACTTTTCATGAGGACTTCTAGAATTACTTAAAAAATAATATTATATTATTTAAATTATTTTTTAATTTTTTATTTAAAAGTTAGTTTTGAAATTTTATTTATAATTATTATTTATACTGTTATTATATTGATATTAATAATATTGATAGATATGATCAATAAATAAAATCGGAGGGAGTATCCTTTAATTTTTACTTTTGCCATTTAATTATTTCTCTCTTTGTAAATAAATAATACTGAAATTTGCTAATAAAATATGTTCGTTATTGTACGGACCGAGATCAACGTTGCCTTGCGGCCTTGTGGGGTTCATGTATTGTGGTGGAGGTGCTTTTTATCAGGTCAAGATAAGTAAATGAATAAAAGCGTCAAAAACTAATTAAAACTTAAAAAAATTTATTTAGAACCAAGTGGTATTTTAATTGTAACACACCAATTTTTTTTTTAAATAATTTAACTCAACCATAGTTGGGTTACAGTCACCCAACATATTTTTATATCAATAATTTCAATATAAAATATTTTATAATTGGCTTCAACTCACACACTATAACATTTCAGATAAATTTTTTACCTCCCACATGTCATTAGGCTAAATCACATTTGTCCATCTTTATACTCCTAACAAGTAAACTAAATCACATTTGTCCATCCTTATACTCCCAACAAGGAAAATAAGTAATTTAATAAATTTTCAACACAAGCCAGTTATTTGGCCTTATAATCATGCCATTTTAACCAATCTAAAGTAAACCAAATATTAAAATTACAGTCATCCAAATTATACCAAAAATAGAAATAGTTTGAAAGGCATGATTACATTTATATATTCATATAATTGACAATAAACAAAAAGCCCTAATATTGGCAATATAACACATTATAAATTATAAATTAAATACCCAAAAGAGACAGTGGATCTATACCACTAAGCCTCTGGGACTCCTCCACATGTCACTCGTGGCTCTTCTCCTAAAAATTGTTAACCACATAATGAGACTCAAAAGTTTCAGTAACCAAAGCCAATTTATGATAGTGTATACAAACAGTTAAGTGTGTGCTTACTAAGTGAGAATTAAAAATAATATAATTCCAACAAATATAAGAAATATTACAATATACACAAACAACCATCCTTATATCCCTCCATTAACCTCGAGCCATAGCCCTCACTTGGTGCTAAATTACCCGGCCAAAGGTCGATTAGCCCGAACTCTTACAAGCCACCTATTGAGCTCCAACAGGGGCGTATCACGTGGCACATAAATACAACAATAATAGCAAGTCTCCCAACACCTCCCACAATAATCAAACAAATTCATAAAAATATTGCACAATATACAATATAAAAAAAATTCATAATTTTCTCAATAATCACCCAATTAACAGGAAGTAACACTAATCATAAATTAAAAGCATGGTTACCTCGTGGCTTTTTTCAATAAATTATTCCTTAAAATTTCTCTCTCACCACAATCTTCACCAGTAATACAATCTACAAATAACATATTATTTATAAATATTAGTTTCAATTTTTGAAACTAATAAAATAATTCTAATAATAGAATTAAAAATATAACATAATTCCTAATCTCAATCTTAATACAAATCTAGAGTCAATACTATTAAGTAAAATTTTTAACTCCTCTTTTAATTATCAATAAAATTAATAATCTAAAAATCAACTTCTAAACTAATTTCTATTATCAAAATTTCTTTTTATTTCATAAATTCGTACCTAAAATACCCAAAAATTAAAAATTGAGTCTCTAGCTTAGAATCATAATCCTATAAACATAATAATTCATTTCTCATCCCTAATAATCATCAAACCTCAATAAATCAACATATATTTTCAGATCTAGTTTAGAATTTGATCCATAAGCCACAAATTCAAAGATCATCAATAAATTTTATACTTTAGAACATTTATTATACTACTGACAACCTCAAAAATCATATTTATTCAACATAAATTCATCTCTCTTCCAGATCTTAAATTTTCTACCACTACAAAATCAGAAACCAAAGAAAAAGGATGACTAAGAAAAAATTTTAAAACACTTACTTAGTCTTAAAAAGCTTAAAATCACACCCTAAATATCCTATTAAAAAACTCTTACTTTAAAACCTAACACCGGCGAACTTTTACACCGTCGCCCCCTCTGTTCGCGCACGAAGAGAAATAAAAAAGGGAGAAATGAAGAAACGAAGAAGGAGGGATGGGTTTTTTTAAAAAAAATTCTGTGAGTCCCATATTTTTTTAATTATTTCCTCTCTCTTCTTTTTTTTAATTATTATTATATAAAGTAATCATTGCAACGGGGAAGAGCACCGAAAGCCATCTTGTTCTCTTCTTTCTTTCCTTCTTTCTCATACTTTTTTTTATAATAATAATAATAATAATATTTTAATAATAATATATTTATTATTATTATAATTATTTTTTAATTATTTTTTTTATTTTTTTAATTTAGAATTATATCCTAAGTTAGATTTAATAATCATCTCCTACTAATTTGCTTACCTCTAAATATTTTTTTTTTAAATTTCTATTTACCAAAAATTAACTATTAAAATTTAAATTGAGATGTTACATTATGTATTGTCGTATGTTTTAATCACGTAATTTATGTTGAAAATATGATTTTTAAAAACTGATAAAAATGAATGAGAATTATATCAATATATTGTATAAAATTAAAAAAAAGACCATGGAATCACTATTAAAATCATCTTTTAAATATTAAAAACTCAATTGATATGCTCGAGATTTTATAGATTAATATGTTTTCACACTAGCTGAATTGTAAATTAAAATACTGTGATAAATTATAAATTTTCATCCATAATTTACAAGTCATTTTTTCAAAATTGACCACTAGTATAAAAAAATGCATGCTCCCCTGTTAAAAAATATAAAACATAGTTTTGAAGACTTGGATGTTTAAAAATGTAAGGTATTTTTTAATTTTTTAAGGTATAATCATTACTTTTTTTAAAAAAAAGTCCCTAGTGATAATCGTTTTATATTTATTATAGGATATTTAATAGGGATAAATATGAGAAGTAAAATTAATTTAAAAATAAATAATTACTTTATTAAAGAATGAGACTCGATTAAAAATATTTTTATTTTTTAATAGAGCGAGTATATTTATAATTTTAAATTTGACTTGTAAACTGTAAAAATATTTGTGTATCATAATATTTAAATTATTATATATCGAAGTATTAATAATTTAATGAGATATTATTAAAAATAATAATTTTTTTTAGTAATTTATCCATGTTGCTGACGGCAATACTGCTGATGTGATGACCAGTCGGTAGCTGGTTAAAGTAGCTACTTTAAATGATATTTTACTTTTTTATAGGAATAAGGAATGATATTAATTTCTTAGAACTTTTGTAATTTAGGAAGATTTAAATAATATTAATTTTTTATAAGATATTCATATGTAATTTTTGTAAACCATTTTCTATAATATTTGAATTCCTTCTCTATAATTTTCTAGATTAACTGAAAGTCAAAGTTAATATTTATAATAAAAGATAGGAAAATATTGCACCATATTTAAATATTGAAAAGGATATTATACAAAAAAGAATTGAATTAGTTGCTTTAACTTAAAAAAAAATAAAAAGTAACCACAGTATATCAACTATGGTTGCATGAGTGGAAGGGGACGTTTGGTGGGAGTAAATAAAGAGGGTAGTTATATTTCTCGAAAATTGAATAGAATTTTAGTAAGTTGATTCAGTAACTCCATTCAGTTGAGGGTTTTGAAGGGAAAAGAAGAAAACTGATGGAAGAGAAGATTTTCAGAAAGTCCCCTCTTTTTCATATTTGGGAGGATTTTGGGAAGGGGAGGGCTAAACTACAACTATAATCAGACCCAAATTACTCTCCTTTTCTCTCTAGTTAAACTAAACGAGGTATTATTAAATTTTCTCTATAGTTTTCCCTCTCCCTATTTTTCTTACTTTTCCCTCCATCCAAACCAAACCTTCCAGAAATTGTGTCTTCAATATCCCTCACAACTGAGTAATTTTGTCGAGTAGATTTTGAGGCTTCTGAAATTTAATCTGATTTAAAACGATACTCCTACACCAAATTGTGCTAAAAAACTGGGGGTTCTTCCAGATTGTGAACCATGGGTTAGCCCCGTGCTCATGGATAAGGCTCGAGAGACGTGGCGCGAGTTCTTTCACTTGCCTATGGAGATTAAACAGCAATACGCTAACTCGCCCAAGACTTATGAGGGATATGGAGCAGGCTCGGAGGTTGAAAAAGGCGCTATTCTGACTGGAGCGATTACTATTTCCTTCACTACCTTCCCTTGTCGGTCAAAGACTACGACAAATGGCCTGCTCTGCCTGCTTCTTCCAGGTAAATTTACAAAGCGAGGATGAGAATCACTAAGAGTATATGTGTGTGTATATGAAGAGGATGACGTGTTTTAATTTCCCTGGCGGTGCAGGGAAGTGTTTGATGAGTATGGGAGGGAGTGGTGAAGCTGTGCGAGAGGTTGATGAAGGTTCTGTCTGTGAACCTCGGCTGGACGAGGATTTTCTGCAGAATGCTTTCGGAGGACACGACGTAGGAGCGTGTCTAAGGGTCAATTTCTACCCAAAATGTCCCAAGCCGGACCTCACCCTCGCCTCTCGTCTCACTCCGATCCCGGCGGGATGGACTCTGCTGCTGCCGGACGCCGAGGTTCCCGGTCTCCCAAGTTCGTAAATTCGACACCTGGATCACCGTCAAGCCCGTGCCTCATGCCTTTATTGTCAATATTGGGGACCAAATACAGGTATGCCGATTTAAATCGTCAGATTTATAACTCCTCTCTCTCTCTCTCTCTCTCCTCTCTCTAATTTCGATTATCTAAGTGTCTGTGTGCCTGTAGTAACAAAATGTTACCGCTTTACCTAATACGAAAAACCAAAGATATCAAACTGGAAAAAGCTTGATCTCCTTACTTTTTAACCAGATATGTTGAATCCAACGTTTGGTTAGGATTCGGGGTATGATAAGCACGTCTCGGTCGTCACATGGAGGGGCACAATGTCGAGGGGTCAACGTTTTGATATCCCTTGTTCCTTGTCAACGTGTTTTGGATAAATTTAAGTAGCAGCCTTCGCACGAAATTACTTTCAGTTTATAATCTGACGTGAATTAAGGATGTATGTTTTCGTGACAAGATAAGAATGCCCAGGTTGCTGTTTTGAGTTTACTAGCTGCATCCACTTGGAGGCATGTTGGTATATTGTTAGAATATTTTAAAGCAATATAATGTTCTTTTCGCTTTTGACAAAAATCAGCCCACATACACAAAAAAGAAAAGTAGATATACACATTCTTCTTTTCGTGGGAGGTTAACGTTGTAGGCTTTGACATTTTCTATTAAGTTTGTGTGCACTAAATAAACCTTTGCTTTTCTGTGTGTTGGGAAAATTTTTTAAGGTTTAAGCAATGCAATATACAGAGCGTGGAACACAGAGTGATTGTGAATTCAGACAAAGAGAGACTTTCACTGGCTTTCTTCTACACCCAAGAGCGCGACATTCCCATTGCGCCGGCGAAAGAGTTGGTGACGCCGGAGCAACCGCCTCTCTATCAAGCCATGACCTTCGATGAGTACAGACTATTCATTAGGTTGATGGGACCTCGCGGGAAATCTCATGTTGAATCCTTGAAATCACCGAGGTGATTATATTATAAACGGTTTTTAAAAAATTTACATCCCTTGTCAACCAATAGTCCCCTTGCATTTGTAGTAATTTAATTCACTCACATAGGGATTTGATATCATATGTAAAATGCACATAATTAAGGTAAACAATAGATTCACAGGTCGCATTTTGATTTTCATTCAAGTGCAGTCTAGTTGTAGTTTTGTCCTTTTCCGCTTTAGTTTGAACATGAAAGAATTTAATTAGATGCCTGTCACTTTATTATTATTATTATTATATTAGATATAATTATAGTATATTTAATAATAAAAGATCGTGGTTTTTGTCCCCACACAGCTCCTACGCATGGTTATATTTAATTTCCTATTAATTAAATATGGCAATGAGATTTGCATCACTCTTCCAGTTCAGTGGACTTATATATAGCATTGGATATTACACACATAAGTAACGAAATTAGGAGCCGGATTCTCTCCTGCTCCTCCTCTCCTGTTTTCTATCCTGCCCCGCGAAATTATTATGATAAGTAAGTAATTAATTCAAAAATCAATTTTTCAACGAACAACTCATCAATGTTACAATGTACGGCCCCAGTCACCAGCCAGTTCAATATGGAATGACATTTTGATTCCCTCGTAAGCAAAATTATAAACATTTTTCCGTTTGTATAAAAAAAAGCATTAATATTTTGGTCTATGTCAATGTTTTAAAATTAAATTAGACGTTGAACTGAAAAGTCCCATATGTCATAATTTTATGGTTTAAACAAACCGGTTAAACAAGTGGTCAACTAATAACATAATAATTAAATAAAAATTTTATATTGACAATATTATTTTCAGTTTGGAATTGTTTGGTCACAATACATTAAATTTAATTCTCATTTTTTTTACACGTATATATTCTATTTACCGTCGTTTTATTCTTTAAAGTAAATGGGTTTTTCATTTTTCTCTACACTTTCAATGATATAATGCCAATAAACAAATTATGAACACAAGATTTTATTATGATAAATTAACCTTAAGTTAACATTAATATTTTAAATTGAATAAATAATTTTATTATTAAAATAAGAGTAAAAAGAAAAAAAGATTCAAAATGATCCAACCATTCTAAGTTTTAAGTTTTTGATAGGTTTTAAGTTTGTGTGCACTAAATAAACCTTTGCTTTTCTCTGTGTTGGGAAAATTTTTTAAGGTTCTAAGCAATGCAATATACAAGAGCGTGGAACACAGAGTGATTGTGAATTCAGACAAAGAGAGACTTTCACTGGCTTTCTTCTACAACCCCAAGAGCGACATTCCCATTGCGCCGGCGAAAGAGTTGGTGACGCCGGAGCAACCGCCTCTCTATCAAGCCATGACCTTCGATGAGTACAGACTATTCATTAGGTTGATGGGACCTCGCGGGAATCTCATGTTGAATCCTTGAAATCACCGAGGTGATTAATATTATAACGGTTTTTAAAATTTACATCCCTTGTCAACCAATAGTCCCTTGCATTTGTAGTAATTTAATTCACTCACATAGGGATTTGATCATATGTAAAATGCACATAATTAAGGTAACAATAGATTCACAGGTCGCATTTTGATTTTCATTCAAGTGCAGTCTAGTTGTAGTTTTGTCCTTTTCCGCTTTAGTTTGAACATGAAAGAATTTAATTAGATGCCTGTCACTTTATTATTATTATTATTATATTATATTATATTATATTATATTTAATAATAAAAGATCGTGGTTTTTGTCCCCACACAGCTCCTACGCATGGTTATATTTAATTTCCTATTAATTAAATATGGCAATGAGATTTGCATCACTCTTCCAGGTTCAGTGGACTTATAATATAGCATTGGATATTACACACATAAGTAACGAAATTAGGAGCAGGATTCTCTCCTGCTCCTCCTCTCCTGTTTTCTATCCTGCCCGCGAAAATTATTATGATAAGTAAGTAATTAAATTCAAAAATCAATTTTCAACGAACAACTCATCAATGTTACAATGTACGGCCCAGTCACCAGCCAGTTCAATATGGAATGACATTTTGATTCCCTCGTAAGCAAATTATAAACATTTTTTCCGTTTGTATAAAAAAAAGCATTAATATTTTGGTCTATGTCAATGTTTAAAATTAAATTAGACGTGAACTGAAAAGTCAATATGTCATAATTTTTATGGTTTAAACCGGTTAAACAAGTGGTCAAACTAATAACATAAATATTAAATAAAAATTTATATTGACAATATTATTTTCAGTTTGGAATTGTGTTTGTCACAATACATTAAATTTAATTCTCATTTTTTTACACGTATATATTTCTATTTACCCCTCGTTTATTCTTTTAAAGTAATGGGTTTTTCATTTTTCTCTACACTTTCAATGATATAATGCCAATAACCAAATTATGAACACAAGATTTTATTATGATAAATTAACTTAAGTTAACATTAATATTTTAAATTGAATAAATAACTTTATTATTAAAATAAGAGTAAAAAGAAAAAAGATTCAAATGATCCAACCATTCTAAGTTTTAAGTTTTTGATAGGTTTTCAAAACTGCTTGGGTCAAAGCAAGTTAACTTAGGCCAACTATTAAAACAAGTTAAATGGTTGAATCAAATACTTTTTTCATTGAGCAACAATTCACCAGTTCGATCATTCGAGTTAACCTAGGCTCAAGTCTCAAAACATTGGTACATATAACAACTATAATGAGCCTTATTTTATTAGATAGAATCAATATATAAATTGCACAATATTATTATGTTCCATCAATATTCTTCTTTGGACAAAAACCATGTTTGGGCCGAAATTTTAAGGAGGTGTGAGAACATATCATTCTATATATATGATTAGTCAAAATCTCTTCCGCGGCATTGAACTCAATAAGTATTATGAAGCATCACAGTCCCGAGGATAAGCATGCAATATATGTATGGTGTGTGTATGAAGAGGACTGAAAAGTGAAACATTATTTTTAAAAATTAGAACAAACCAAATGATAGATTCGGTTAAACTGTAGCTGGATTTGATAACAGCTTGATTCAGATAAAAAAAATTGTTTTCATGGTTAGGCAAGTTAGACCACAAAGCAAATGGTGTTCAGAAAACCAAGTGCATGGGCCTGAACCTAGTATATGAAAAAAGCTAAAAATACTTGAAAAAAATTATAAAAATTCAAAAATTAAACACTTTTAAAAGTCAACTTCATTTTTTGACTTTTCATATGAATATAACATGATTTTGAAACTATTTTTTTAAAAGATTTCGACAATTAATATGAGTAAAATCCAAATATTTCTGTGTCTAATCATGCCTAATTTTAACTAAAGATTCCCCTATATTTAACAAATCATTACAAAATTAAAACTTATAATATTATTTTATGGTCATGTTATGTTATTTCATGAACTAGGCACATATATATACACACTGTATTATTCTTTTTATATATTATATTCATTTAATACTATTTACTTATTTAATATTATTATGTCAGGTGTGATTGCCGGTCTAATTAAATCGAAACCCACCGATATTTTCAGTTTAATATCGACTTATGATAATATTTAAAATATATACACACCAATCATGGCTATATTTAAGTCAATAATGTCAACTATTTATTAAGCTTCTTAATTCATTCAGTGGAAAAATCAATGTGTGTATTAATTATCAAATAACCTATTCAATCAACGATGTCTAAATAAATAAATAAAATTCATACAATATATAACTCACGTGACTGTAACTGTAGGTGAGCTAGCTTTCAGTGACTTTTGCTCCAAATAATTTCAAAAGGCAAAAACAATATTGTCCCATAGTGAAAGTTGAGTCACCTGCAACTAATGCAGAACCTATTTATTATACTATAATTATTGGAGGAACGTGTGAATTGCTCTATAATTGACACATATGGTAGTTTAGTTGGTTTCAAACTCTTTCATTTGGACCGCATCTAAATCTGAATGGTAGTTTAACATCGTCATCACCGCCACAAACATAACATATATAATCCGACGTACGTAATTAAAGCAAATTTATTACTTTAATTAATATATCATTGTCAAGGTGTGTGAATTAATGTGGTTTGTTTTTTATTGTGGATAGGCTCAAGTTGAGTGGACAGTTTTTGAAGAAATAATAACACATGAAAGTGATAGGCGTGGGGATGTTGATGATGGAAAAGCACTTGTAAGCAGGGTAGGCCATTGAAGTGGGGATGCCTGTTTTGCCAGAGAGACCTGAAAAGAACCCCCTGAAAAATCTATTTAAAAAAAAAAAAAAACATGTAGAGCCTTCTGATATTATCAAATATCAATCCCTTGATGGAGACGTTGCGATTCACAAGCCCCCATTTTTGTTATTGTCTTTAGATGTAATTCCCCCCCCCCCCCAAAAAAAAAGCCTGTCCATTCATTTTGGAAAACTTACAAAAATATGACCTGCCGAGTGCTAACATTAGTGATAATCATCCAGGACCATAAAATCTTGGAATGGAATTCAAGTGTATATGTCAAGTTCATTTTCGACGGTTTATACATTATTGTTATGACTAAAATACCCTAAAAATAAGTGACTAAATGTGCATTTCAAATAGGGAATTTTAGTTAAAACATTATTTTTTTTATAAACTACTATAAAGGACAATGGTCCTAAAAATTCATTTTTCAATCCCCTTATAACTGATCCAAATCTCCAACAAAACATAATAAACTATTGTCTTCATCTTAATTTATAAAATATTTTAAAAATAATTTAATGTTTCAAAATATAATACTCGACCTATCCCAATGACAATTTGAGATAGGAATATAAATATCAATAAAATACAATAATGATACTTTATAAATTTACTTTTTATAATAAAACTATAATTTTTAAAAATGTCCATACATATTTAATTATTATATTACAATATCATTTCAATTCTTTCTTTGCTTGAATGTTGATATAGAAAAATATCATTAATAAAACATTATTTTTCTTAAATTATCTTATTTTTGAAATAAAATTCTCTTAAAGTTATCTTATAATTTGGAATAAAGACAGTACATTTTAATAAAAATAAAGTTTAATTGATGATACTTTTTTAATGTTATCCTTTTCATATATTCTTTCTATATAATATTCCTTCATAAATAGAATATTAAATAAAAAAAATTATATTTTTATTTTGAAAAAATAATGTTTTAAAATGTATTTATCATTCAATGAATTTTATTGATATAAGTGATTTTGTTAAAAGTATCTTAAAATTGAGATAAAGATAGTATATTTGTAAACGAGATCATGGAGCATGCTATCACAATGAAGGAATATAACGGTGGGGACCAATGAATAATGTATTACGACTAAATCATGAACAATATTAAACTCTATCATAATTATATTTTTTATGAAAAAAATTTCTTTGAGAACTCATAAAAGCGTTCACTTTTTTTTTTGAAAAGCAAAATAAAGGAAAATTAAAGACTTCCAAAGGTGGCGTTGTAAGAAGGCGAAAAAGAGTACTCCCCCCCCCCCCCCAAACAATACAAAGACACTTTCAACTTTCATAATGCATATTAACATAAAAAAAATTATGTATAGGTCGCTTAAGATTTAAATATAATTTATGATTTGTGTGCAAATTAAGTACAGTATTTCCTTTACTTATTAGGTTACAATACCTCTCCCTCAATTAAACATTATGCACGCTCTATTTACATCTACAATAGCTCTATCTTATTCTTCTTCACCAATCGAAGCCTACAAATTGTTAGGGCAAAGTCCATGATGATTTTACACAAGCAACTCCTTCATCATTATAGTCGATTGTGATCAACACTGCTTCTCCTTGTTCTTATATAATTGCTTTGCATGTTAAAAGCCCTATCTAAATCAATTGGCAAAAATTTCATTATTCAACTTAAGTTGTCATTACCTTAAGTTTCAGTTTTTATTATATTATGGATTGGGAGGAGTATATACTAAGACTAAAATAGATATCATGAAACATAAGGGGTGAAGTGTGATGATGGTATGAAGGAGTTAAGTGGGTTGTGTGTGCATGGGATGGAACGGCATCTACATGATCCTATCGTGTGTCACATCCCCAAATGGTAAACTGATGAATTTTTATCTTGGTTTTGTCCTGTTTTCAAAGTGGTCCCATCTTGTTCAAAACTAGGATGAGAATGAGAAATCTCTAAAAAGATAAGTAAAAGGAAACAATAATAACAAGCCTTGTTTCACTAAATGAGATTGGCTACATGAATTATAAGATATCATTATATTATATCATTTACCAAGCTTTGAGGAATACCAGTTAATTAAGAGATTTTAGTTTACCAACTTTCATAAATATTCTCTTTTGACCTTACTCTATCCCTCTTAACAAAGGTTTAAAATTATTCATTTCACTCTCTTCATCGGTGCCTTGCATAATTTTTTTTTTATATGTCCAAACTATCTTAAACAATTTTCAACCAACCATTTTCCCTCAATAAATACAACGCCCACTTTTTTCTTATACTCTACTCGTTTTCAGTTTTATTTTTACTCGTATGCCCATATATTTATCTCAACATTTTAATCTCTATACTATAACTTTATGTTTTTTAGTGTCATCCAACATTCATATCATATAACATAGCTGGTCTTATAGCAGTTCAATAAA